TCTAAAAAGTTCCCTTTCATGTAGCAAATTATTATTATAAATTTTCTACAATTTACTGTTGAATATGTAGACAATTTGGCTTTCTGGGTTGCCAAATAGAAGGATTTTAGGATTGTTGATTTTGTACCAATCCCAAATACCAATTTCTACAAAGACTACACATATTCATATTTATTTTTATTTCTTTGTATCCCATCTTTATTATTATTTTTTAAATAACTCCAGTTGGTGAACATATCCTACACATCTTCCTCCTCTTATTTTTCCCACAACAACAACCTTGTGAGGTAGGTTGGGCTGAAAGAGAAAGTGACTGGCTTAAAATCACCCAGCTGGCTTTCATGGCAAAAATGGGATTTGAACAGTCTGGTTTCTAGTCTGGTATCTTAATCACTAGACCAAACTGGCTTGTTCATACTTGTTCATCCAAACTTTTCCATACATATTCATTTCTTACATATTCTACTACGATGTGCACATATTTGTACATATTGGCGATATTTTCTTGAGTTGCACATTTCTGACAATGTTCATGTCAGTTTGTATATGTGTTCTACATTCTTCCTTTATTATTTGGTAGTGTTGTATGACACTACCTTGTTTAAAAAATCTGATAGATTCAATTTCTCACCCCTTTCTAATCCCAAAGAATCCAATCTCGGTTTCTATTTCTGGAAGGTCACCATCTGTGTGGCATCCTGTTGGCCAAGGATCACAAAAAGATGGAATTCATATTGACAGAGTAGAACAAATTGTGATTCAAAAAACTACAGAGCCATGAAGCAAGCAATTCTGAGCATAAGTGCTGGAAGGGGATGGTGCTACCTGCCTTGAAGTGGTATACTTCCTTCTTAAGAGGGTTTCAACCTTAAACCTGATTGTAAGCAACTTTCATTCAGTACCCAACCTCCCCATCTAAGCAGCTGGTACATCCTTAGCTTCAGACGGCCAGGGATGAAGATTACCTGAAGCTACTTCAGCCAGGGTTCAAGACGTGTTACAGTACTAAAACAGTGTTGGTTGTGCTTGTTGATAACCTATGGAGGACTGGATCTATCAGTGATGCTTGGTATCAGAGATGATACCATGCTTCTGGAAGTCAACTCATGTCAACTGGCTGAAGCCACCTTTTGCTGCCTCATAGTTGCCACAAATCCAGAGAAGGGGAAGGGAGGGGGGAAGGGAGGGGGGAAGTAGATAGACCGACTAACCCCCAAAACAAAAAATTTTCCTGTGGGAACCAAGGTCATCCTATCAGGTGGATGTTGAAGGAGGAGAGGAGTGACTAAGCAGCCTGCCAACTACTTTCATTGGACAATGTGACCGGTGACAACTGGGAGGGGGAACTTTTGCTCTTTCAATTAGGTGAAAATCGCGAGAAGTTTTAGAGTTGGTTTTCACCAGCTGTGCTGATATGATGTATCCAATAAACATGTTTTTTGAGTAATCTTCCTGCCTCAGAGTTCTGCTTTCAATGGCTGCGTTACTCGGAATCCTAACACTAAGACAGTGTTGTTGATAACCTATGGAGGACTTGATGATACTATTGTCCTGGACATCCTGAATCTATCAGTGATGTTTGGTATCATAGAATGATACCATGCTTCTGGAGGGGCTCTGGGAATTGGAAATAGAGGACAGTTGTTGTAGTGGCTCTCCTTCCTCTGTGGCAGAGCCCAGTTAGTGTGCTTCAAGGCTCCCACCAGTTTAGGATACCCAGTTATACATCTCTACCTAGACAACCAATTAACCAAGTAACACTGTCCTGATGGTCTAGATTCAATTTAGGAAAATGGAGTGGCTCTGGATCACATAATGAGCATTTAAACTTTGGGACTGACGTTTGTATACATTCCCATGTTCTACAATAGGCGGGACACAGAACCTCTGTGTATATTTGACTTGTCTACTCTACAACATTTCTAGTTGTACTAAGCCTGAAAAACTTCTGTTGTCAGCCCCGAAGCTGGCCTAACTGTGGCCATTTTCTTTTTCATAACTTTCTTCTAAGGTTTTTCCCTGCCTGGCTTCAGGAATGATACAGCCTGGAGCTAAGGGGCCAGGGAGGGGGGTGTAGGGATAATTGGGGCTCTTGAAGCCAAAATAAAATTCTTTTCCCTGGGAGTCAAGGACATTTCTGCAGGTGTTTTGATGCCCAGCAGTTGGACTGTATGCTGATTGTATGCTGTATGCTGTATCCGACTGGTGACTTTGGGGGGAATTGGCAAAGTTTTACTTTTAATTGGGTGGAAAACTGGCGGGAACCCAGAGCCAGTTTCCCACTGAGTGTGCCAATATGATATGTCCCAATAAAATGTTCTTTTTTAAAAAAAAATTGATTTATATGCCTCCCTTCTCTGGAGACTCAGGGCGGCTTACAGTGCGTTAAGCAATAGCCTTCATACTTTTGTATATTTTATACAAAGTCAGTTTATTGCCCCCACAAACTGGGTCCTCAATTTACCTACTTCAGAAAGGATGGAAGGCTGAGTCAACCTTGTGCCTGGCAAGATTCGAACTTACTTTAATTGCAGACAGCTGGTGTTAAATTACAGTGCTTAGTCTGCAGAGCTATCCAGGCTCCTTTGAGGAATATGCCTGCCTTGGCATTCTTGTTTTGGGGGAGGATTACTTGGAACCTTGACATCTGCTGGTAGCTAGTTACTTAATCCAGGCTTGAGTTTCTGGAGAATGGGGATTTATGTGAGGTTAAGATCTGCTAATTCTATTCCCTACATTTTAGAAGGAGAGTCTATATTTATGTAATTGTACAGTTCTTACAGTTTTCTACTAACCATAGATCACATCAGCAATGTTTCGGTCCTGTTACCTCAAGATGTGTGCTGGAATGAATAAGACTTCATGGACTAATTCATCTGAAATATTTGATGAAATGTGGGATGAACTCATTTGTCAGGGCACTGTAGGGATGTACACTAATCCACATCTGTTTGTGTATCAACCAGAAACTCAAGGTATTAGAGCAGAGTAATGGGCCAGAGAGGAAGAAGATGCTGTTCTGTTTCATTGCTCCTTTCCTTCTCCTCTGCCTGCTCATTTATTTATTGGGTAAATTTATATGCTGCCCATTTTGCCTAGAGGTGAGATTTCATCAGAAATTTCAGAGGTTGAACCCCTGAAGTAGAGAGCTAGCAGAACTAAATGAGTTGCCTTAAATAAAGTTGTACTAGTGAACACAAGGCCTATATAAAAATTGAAGTAAAGCTGATTACTTGCCAACCTAGCAGTTCAAAAGCATGTAAAAAATGCAAGTAGAAAAATAGGGACCACTTTTGGTGGGAAGGTAACAGCGCTCCATGTGCCTTTGGAGTTTAGTCATGCCGGCCACATGACCATGTCTTCAGACAACACTGGCTCTTCGGCTTTAAAACGGAGATGAGCACCGTTCCCTAGGGTCAGGAACGACTAGCATGCATGTGTGGGGGAACCTTTACCTTTAAAGCTGGTTACCCCAAAGATGCTTTTTCAGAAGGCAACTGGCCTTTCTCGTTTTTCTTTGAAAACATTTCACTTCTCATCTGAGAAGCTTCTTCAGTTCTGACTGGATGGTGGGGAATGGAAGGATTTATATTCCTTGCAGATAGCTGGTCATTTGCATTCTTTTAAAGGTAAAGGTTTCCCTCACACGTATGTGCTAGTTCCTGTCTCTAGGGGGCGGTGCTCATCTCTGTTTCTAAGCCAAAGAGCCAGCGCTGTCCGAAGACGTCTCCGTGGTCATGTGGCTGGCATGACTAAATGCCGAAGGCACACGGAGCGCTGTTACCTTCCCACCAAAGTGGTCAAGTAATTGGAGCTCACCCCATTACGCGGCACTAGGGATTCAAGCCGCTGAACTGCCGACCTTTCGATCGACAAGCTCAGCGTCTTAGCCACTGAGCCACTATGTCTCTTATTCTTTTAGAGGATCATTAAGGCCACTTGGAGGTTTATCTGGGTTCTCAGGGTCACCTGAGTAGTGCCTTCCATTCCCCATCATCTAATCAGAGCTGAAGAAGCTTCTTGGATGAGAAGTGAAAAGTCTTCAAAGAAAAACAAGAAAGTCCAATCGCCTTCTGAAAAAGCACCTTTGGGACAACCACAACCTGGATGACTGAGCATCTCCACAGACATAAAACTGGTTACATTGCATTGGGAAGCCCTGCTAAGTGTCTTCTTTTTGAAATCTCAGCTACCTCTGCATTTGTGGGGAAGGCAGGCATTTTAGAAGCAGCTTCTCTAAATGCTCCAGATTTGGACTGTCAGGATCAGAACTTGCCCAATTCTCCAGGACCTCAGAGTTTGAAACATTCATGAATGAAGTGGAGGCCCAGAAATAAATAGCTATGCCACAGAGATTTGAAAGGGGGAATGCTTTGTCAGGCACAGCCAATGACGAATCGGAAACAAAAAGAGGGATGTAATGCCTTCCAGTCTTCCACAATTCTACCCTCCAAGCAGGGGTGAAATCTAACAGGTTCTGACAGGTTCTGGAGAACCGGTAGCGGAAATTTTGAGTAGTTCAGAGAACCGGCAAATACCACCTCCGGCTGGCCCCAGAGTGGAGAGGGAATGGGGATTTTGCAGTATCCTTCCCCTGCCATGCCCATCAAACTACACCCACAGAACTGGTAGTAAAAAAAATGAATTTCACCACTGCCTCCAAGTCCAAAGGAGGGAGGAGGAGGAGACGGAATAAAATAGTAAGACTAAAATACTTAAATTGATAAGGAACCAATGTTTCTCAAACCAGGAAGAACTTTGTGTAAAATTCAGGTTAGGAAAGAAAAGTGGAATGACTTTTTGGTGAAATCGGACAACGCTGCATAAAAAGGCATTTCCTTCTATTAGTTGCTGAATCTCTCTGCATTTACCTTCAATGGGTGCTTTTGAATTCCAATTATTTCTTTTTGTGATTATTTTCTTTTCTGTCATTCTTTTCTTTTCTTTTTTAAGCTTATTTTCTGACAGCTAGGCAAGGCCAAGAACAGACACAGCAGTGATTCCAGAAAGATCCTTTATTGTTGTAGGGTAAAATAAGGATAGATTCTTGAAAGCCTGGCAGAATTTCTCTCTACTCCATCTTTGGTACAATCAAGGCAGAGTAATGATGAGCTTCTTTCTTGCCATTTTCTCTTTCTCAGGACTGAATAATCTCTTCTGAATCTCTTCCCTGGAACAGTTTTGCCCATTTTTTTCTCATTCTGAAGGCCAGGCCTGCATTCCTTCGCAATAATGCTTTCAGGCATTATTCCTGGAACAGATATTAAGTTAATTAGCTTATACTGTTTTCTACTGCCCCTTAATTTCTTTTAAAAATTGGTTATTTTCCATCTTCAGGAACACATTCTGATCAGTGATGCATTTCAAAAAAATTTATTACCGGTTCTGTGGGTGTGGCTTGGTGGGTGTGGTATGCTTGGTGGGTCTGGCAGGGGAAGGATACTATAAAATCTCCATTCCCATCCCATTCCAGGGTAAGGTTACTGCAAAATCCCCATTTCCTCCCAATCAGCTGGGACTCGGGAGGCAGAGACTAGATGGGGGCAGGGCCAATCAGAATTTTTACTACCGGTTCTCCAAACTACTCAAAATTTCCGCTACCGGTTCTCCAGAACTGGTCAGAACCTGCTGAAACCCACCTCTGATTCTGATGTTAAAGAGAATTACATACTTCTGTAAAAAAACAACATCAATGTCCTTTTTAAAATATAAATATAGTTTTTATTAAAGAATTTTAAGAGAATAAAAGCAACCCAATTTTTTTTTAAAAAAGTAAAGACACTAAAGAAAAGTAATAAATGAGAAAAGGGGTACAAAAAGGAAAGAGGAAAGAAAAATTCTTTTTTAAAAACATTCTTTTCAATAAGGTTCACATGAGGCCAATGCTTGCTTATTTACTCTCAAAGTGCTGTTGAGGTTAAATGGCATAATGTGGGAATTCAGCTGGCCCACTAGACTCCCATCTCTTCTGCTTTTGTGAAATCGTTTGCTATTTATTGTGGCAACGGGATGCAGAACATTCAGAGAAGCCATCGCTCAATAAACTGGTAATTAGATTCAAACTGATGTCCAACCACTAAATCTTGCTGTCTTCTATGTATGGATTGTATTCATAGAACCAAGCCAAACTAAACAAAATGTAGGGGGGAAATGCCAACCAAACATAACTTTGAAAAATGCCAACTAGTGTTTTGATAAAAGCTCAGGGTATCCACAGAAACTTCCAAGAAATTTCTCCAGGAGTGCTGGTGAGTTTGTCATCTGACATACCTGACCTGAGATTAGATTGATTCAAAAAGTTGTCCAGAAGCCCAGATTCTGATGCCAGTGCATGAAATGGAATGATGAAAGATTCTCACCCAAATCTGTATAACTAGTCCTTGAGTTATGACTGGTTGTTGTTTAGCAACCATTCAAAATTCCAACAGACCTACAACAGCCCACTGGGTGACTGAGTGAGTTCTCATCTGTCAGTCTAATTGACTTCATATACTGTATTTTTTGGAATATAAGACACACCTACCTTTTTTGGTGAGGAAAAGAAGAAAAAGAAATCTCCCTCTGCCTCTGTGCAATTTTGCCTCGTTGCAGCAAACAGCCTGCTTTACTTTCATTTTCGTTTTCAGCATAGCTTGATTAGGAACAAGGAAAAAAAAATCTGCTCCAGCAATTTACCTCTTTGCAGCAAGCAGCAGAGCCCTGCGCAAAACAGCTGATAGCAAATCAGCTGAGAGTTGGGAGGCCGATCCCATCAACTTGTGCTAATTAGGCTGTGCTGAAGCTGAAAGGAACTGTTGTTTCTTGCTGTTTGCTTGCAAGGAGGTAACTGCTGCGAGGCAGAGGCCAAAGGGTGGGGGCCAGTGGGTGGGCAGGGCTACATTCGGTGTATAAGACGCACCTAAATTTTCACCCCCTTTTAGAGGGGAAAAAGGTGTGTTTTATACTCCAAAAAATACAGTAATACTGACTTTGGAAAAAGGAAAAATAGTGCCATGTATCCTTGCCTGGAGGTCCTGGGGAAAAAAATGGAAAGGATATAAACTGAGCAACTGAATTAATAAATAATAAAAGTTGATTTTGTAATTTGTACTTGTCAGACAATAAAATCCATTTTACTTCATAAACTTATTTTGAATTATTGACTATGCCATCTGATCTCTAAATCCAGACTGAAACCCATAACAACCTAGGAAAAGCAAAAACAACAACCCCAAAAAAGACACTTGTTGCACCTTAAAGATTGAGAAACTAATCTACCTACAGCGTGTCCAATTGACTGGGATAGAGTTTGGTTCCAGCTAAGAAAGTATAAGTTGTATCACAAATAAATGACAGTAAATTAGTTAAAGGGCATCCTGTGGTCTTTCCAAACCAAGTGTTCAGTTGGCATCCCAGAAAAATCTAATTGGGGAATTCATGTGTGAGTTGCTATCCAAGTGCAAATTCTAGTGCAGCTCCTTTCAATTATTCAGTGAACATCAGGATAGCTACAGAGCAGACACATGGTATTTCTTTTGTTGCTGTTGTTAGTTGCGAAGTTGTGTCCGACCTATCATGACCCCATGGACAATGTTCCTCCAGGCCTTTCTGTCCTCTACCATCCCCGGAGACCATTTAAGTTCACGCTGATTGCTTCAGTGACTCCATCCAGCCAACTCATTCTCTGTCATCTCCTTCTTCTTTTGCCCTAAATCGTTCCCAATATTAGGCTCTTCTCCAGTGAGACCTTCCTTCTCATTAGGTGGCCAAAGTATTTGAGTTTCATCTTCAGGATCTGGCCTTCTAAAGAGCAGGCAGGGTTGATCTCCTCTAGGACTGACTGGTTTGATCGCCTTACAGTCCAAGGGACTCGCAGGAGTCTTCTCCAGCACCATAGTTCAAAGGCCTCAATTCTTTGGCACTCAGCCTTCCTTATGGTCCAAATTTCACAGCCATACATTGCAACTGGGAAAACCATAACCTTGACTATACACACTTTTGTTGTCAGGGTGATGTCTCTGCTTTTTAGCATGCTGTCTAACTTTGCCATAGCTTTTGTCCCCAGGAGCAAGTGTCTTGGCTGTAGTCCCCATGTGCCCATGTGATCTTGGAGCCCAGGAAAATAAAATCTGTCACTACCTCCATTTCTTCCCCATCTATTTGCCAGGAATTGAGAGGGCTGGGAGCCATGATCTTACTTTTATTAATGTTGGGTTTCAAGCCAACTTTTGCACTCTCCTCCTTCACCGGCATAGAAGTCTCTTTAGTTCCTCTTCACTTTCTGCCATTAGAGTGGTATTTCTTTAGAAACATCTAAAACCAGAAATGTGTGCACTATTTATTCCACAGTAGTCCCGTCAGTATCCTTGGCATTGCTCCTTTGTTCAACTAAATGATTTTCAGTTCAGTTCAGTTCAACTCTTAAATGGATGCTTACTTGTTTGCAAATATTGAATCTGAAAGAAATTTAAATGCCACTTAATAGCTTAAATGGAAATGACAGGAAAAAATAATCTGGAATAATGTTACTGACAAGTTTTATTAAATTTCCAGAAAATTATTTCACTGGCAATTATTTTAAGGATTTTCTTTATTGCACTTTTTTTTTTCATTCTAGCAGCAAAGGAAACAAAAAAAAAAGGATCGTTCTATATGCTTGTTCAAATATTTATTTTCTCTGGATGATCGTCTCTTGATATATTATGACAGTTCTTTAGAAAATGCAAACACAGCAGTAAACTTAAACATTTTTACTGAATTCCTTGCATAGAATTAGAGAGAGCAGCTAATAATGGAAATAGGGGTAGTCCAGGGTTGAAAAGCATATTAGATCAACATCTATTATCTTTAGAACGTAGTACATAGAATCAAAGGGCTGGAAGAGACCTCAGAAATCTTCTAGTCCAACCTCCTGCTCAAGGCAGGAGATATTGATTGATTGATTATTTATTTATGTATTTCGTCAATCATGTATTTGATAACAGATACAAGTATAAACATAGTTATGAATACATGAAATGGGTATGAATAAAAGGAAACATTAGGACAGGGATGGTAGACACGCTGGTGCGCTTAAGCACGCCCCTTAAAGACCTCTTAGGAATGGGGTGAAGTCTACACTAGACGGTCTAAGGTTAAAGTTTTTGGGTTTGGGGGAAGAAACCACAGAGTCAGGTAGTGCATTCCAGGCATTGACCACTCTGTTACTGAAGTCGTATTTTCTGCAATCTAGTTTGGAACGGTTTACCATGAGTTTGTATCTATTGTGTGCTCTTGTATTGTTTTGGTTGAAGCTGAAGTGGCGCAGCAGACTAATAGCCTGTTATTAACATCCAGCTGCCTGCAATTACTGCATGTTCGAATCTCCCCAGGCTCAAGGTTGACTCAGCCTTCCATCCTTTCTAAGGTAGGTAAATTGAGGACCCAGTTTGTGGGGGCAATAAACTGACTTTGTATAAATATACAAAAGTATGAAGGCTATTGCTTAACGCATTGTAAGCCGCCCTGAGTCTCTGGAGAAGGGCGGCATATAAATCAAATTTTTAAAAAAAGTATTCATTGACTGGTAGGACATTGTAGCAGATGATTTTATGTACCAATGTCAGACCGAAGACGCTGAAGTTCTAAGTTGTCTAAGCCCAAAATTTCAAGTCTCTACCATTCTAGTCTCTAGTCAAATGATTGTCCAGTCTACTTTTGAAAATCTCCAGTGATAGAGCACCCACATTTCAGGGAGACAAGCTCCCTGTTCCTTTGACTAATTGTTCTCAACTATCAGAAAATTTCTCCTTATTTCTAGGTTGGATCTCTCTTTAACAAGCTTCCATTCATTATTTTTTTCCTGCCTTCTGGTGCTTTGGAGAATAAGTCAACCCCCTCATCTCTTTGACTGTCCCCCTCAAGTACCAGAAGACAGTTAAAAGTTTTCTATCATAGGGGAGACATGATGATCCAGGCATGAACTAAGGGTATGAAGGCAGCAAGAGCAAGACTCTAGAGAAAGTTTGTAAATTTAAAAATGCTGTAATCTCTAGAAAAATAGTCAAATAGCTAGACACCTCTTAGAAAGCAACTGCTGTAAGAAAACAATGTTCAGGAAATGAGGCTGCTTAATTTGAAGGACAGAAATAAAATCTATGGAATTTCTCAGTCATCCAGGTCATGATTATCCCATAGGTGGTTCTTCAAGAGTCGACTGGACTTTCTTGTTTTTCTTTGAAGACTCTTCACTTCTCATCCAAGAAGCTTCTTCAGCTCTGACTGGATGGTGGG